TAATACAATATTGCTTACTGATTTCAATACCATTTACCTTTGAAATATTTTTTTTACCTAAGGACACCGACAAACGATGGATTATCGGTTACCTGGTCGAATGCAAGCGGCTTCTCCGTACAGATAAGCGGTTTCTGGATTTTTTTTTGACGAAAGGAATAAGAATAGAGTAAAATGCACTTATAAATGTGACATAAGTCCAATTTTCACAGTTAGCTTTGTTTTTTCGAAAATTTCAAAAGAGAATGTTTTTGGTTTCTCCCTAAAACAACAAAATTAAATATAGAGATTTTTTCTTCAAATAAAATTTGTAGTCCATAATTTTTTCTTTCATTAAGGTCATGTACATTTTTTTGAAAATTTTAGTAGTTTTCGTGCAAATTGCAATTTATGCAATTTTAAAAATTTACAAAAACATAATTTTCTCAAGAACGGCTCCAAATGTTTTCTTTAAATTTTTGGTAACGATAGTTCTAAATGTACTCTTTTAGGTGACATAAACGCCATTATACTTTATTGTGTTTTTTTCTTCAGAAATTACAAAAATTATTTTTATTGCGTCTCTCATGTCGTTAATATTTTACTAGCGGCATTTTGTTCACATTATTGTATTTATGAGTACATGAGGTTTAAATAATGTCATATAAAGTTACTGGAAAACTCGTGCGATTCTATGAAAACTAGCTCAAAATTCCTGATTTTCAGAAATGTTCAAACACCATTTTTTCAAAAACGGCTCAATTTTTTCCTCAAACATTTCACACAATTACAGCTCATCGCACTCTTTAATATGACGTTAAGTTTATTTCGGTTTCAAAAACCAAAAAACAATCTGTGAAAAAGAGCTTTAAATGTCGAATTTACAGCAGCGCTTAAGCGCCTTTTCTTAAAAACGGCTCCAAATTTTTCAAAGAAAATGGTCATTTATAACGAGGTTTTACTGTCCTTTAATAGTCTTAAAATAATATTTCCGGTCTACAATTAGGAAACCAAAAAAATAAGAAAATGTCAAAAAATGTACTTTGGGTGGCGATAGATGGCAGATGGCAAGAGAATGTGGCACTTCGCAGTAGCTAGCCGGGTCCAAAGGAAACAGAAAACTAATACGGAAAAGTCTCTGCCATTTTGTAGCACCACTAGTTTTACATTGTGTTTTATCAATTATTATACTGTAGTAACCAATTCTATTCACTGATAACGTCATCAAGTAATGTTTTATTACTACATCATGAACTTGAAGATTCACTTCTGTCGTGTCTCATGGCGCATTTCTTTTTTCAAATCATGTCACGTTACAACCGAGGAAGAAACATATTCTAGTTACTTTAAAATAGTATTGTATCCAGGAAAGCTATGCGGGCATTTGACACATTAAATTCAGAATAGTTGACATTTTATTCAATTATATTAAAATAGCACTCTTGATTGCTTATATTTCAAAGCAGTATTCCCACAACGTGCCAGCGGACGGTGTTTCAAGATAAAATTGAACGTGTCTTTCTTCTTTGGAGTATTTGTGGGGAACCGAATTAAAATACTACCTCCAAAAATACGATCTGAGTATTAACTTGTTACTATAAATGTATTTTTTTTTAAATTTCAGCTGAAAGAGTCCTTCTCTTCCTCTGATAACATTGGAACCACCAACTTGCCTGAAGTAAATGTGTCAACCCCTGCAGGTGCATCTGCCACTTTGATTGGTTGGGGTAGAAATACCGTGAGTTTCGTGAATTTTTTATGAACAGTATTATTTTATATTATGCTTGTTAAAAGTATTTAACTTGCAATTGTGTTTATATTTTATATTATTTTTCTCGTCTAACATTAATTATAATTTAACGATTTATGTCAATAAAAGCTAAAACAAAATTCTATCAACATAACAATGTTTCTGTTTTAATTACGATAAAAACCAGTTTATGTTTCATTTGTTAATCCAGTATTAAATTCAGTTTTACATTTATTATCATAAGTGTTTTTTAATTTTGGTTTTACTAAATTTGTTCATTGAAAAATTCTCATAAATCAAATAATTGCAAATTAGTTAAAATTAAAATATTGCCTAATTAATTTGATAAATTATTTAATAATTAATAGATCTTTAATTATTAATATTTAAATTTTATCTTACATTGAAACAATTCAAATTTAAAGTAGTTTGAAACAATTAATTTTTAGACCACCCTGAAATTCGACCATGATTACAAAGACACAGCAATAAGCATATTTCAACATGCATTTGTACTGTTTCACAGTAATGACATACGGAATGCATTATGAATATAATTGAGTACATCATTATTAAGAAAAAAGTGTGACAACTAACAATCCCAGAATAATTTTCAAAACTATCCGACAGCAATTCTCACACTGTTTTCGGGTGAACTCACTTTGGAGGGCGCCATTTAACGGCGCAAGACCAGAACCTTTCGAAATGCGACTTTAACGATTCGAGAAAGTACTAAATCATTTTCCATTCTCTGTTTTACAAATAGTAATACACACATAAAACATATTTAAGTTGGTTCAATTTCACTTTGAAATATTGAATCTAAAGATAAATACACACGTATATCATTGACATTATATTTCTATATGAATAGGGAAAGCTACCTTCGTGAGTTAAGTTGGGCATAGGTGTCTCCATGGGTTTCTCAGACGTACGCTCAGTTCCTTCTGAAACTTATACTTTTTTAACCTATCTCGACGGCCAGTACTTAACGCTGTTTGCGGGGGAAGTTTATTTCATGATATTTAATGATATGGAATGAAATTTGCTAATTCCAATAAGGTGTCAGAGTAGTGGCATTGAGTTTATCCAAATGGATTTGTTTATTCGTTGACAATATTGAAAGTTCGACTAATGTTTCCGCGAGGTTACTCAAATGAAATCAGACTCCCTTAACAGGGATGGCTTGACAAATCTTAATTATGAAGTCAAGATGAACGAGAACAGTTTTCGTTCATTGTGGCTAGTAGTGTTGGTTCATAGGCTGGTAAGCAACTAACTAGCGTAAATGGCTTACAAAGAACCAAGACACAATTAAACAATTCATTGCTTTTTGCTCATCATAAAACGTAACGATAACGGAACTTGTTCACAATAGTAACATCGTTAATTGTACACGAAACAGAACCCGAATAATCAGGTGAAATGTAGTTTTATTATATTTATTTAATAAATTTGTATTGATTTCGCAAAAGTTCCAAAGTCGGCGTTTAGCGTGTCCTATATTATGCCTCACACTTTATATTATTATTAATACATACGAAAGGCGAAACGGCACAGTACGTCTCACGTACCAACCTGTCTCTTTGCATCGATTTTAACACATTTAAATGTCAAAAAACATTTCACGCCTTTGGAATGTTTCATTTCGTCGCAGATGTCTGGTCCTCAAAATGCTTCCTCCTTTTGCAGACGGACGGCACCGACCTGTCCATCTTGCAGCAGGTGACCCTGGAGGTGGTGTCGGACGCGGCGTGCGCGGCGGCCTACGACGACGCCACCCACGTGACCAACGTGTGCGCAGGCGCGCCGGGCGACGTGGGAGGCGCCGGCCAGTGCTCGGTACGCCCCCCCCCCCGGCTACGGGCGACTGCTCTAATAGGGGAACGCACTCGGCGATTTAGAGTTCTCTCAGAGACATCACCGTCTGTGAGAACTCGATGTCAATTATTGGGATAAGGCGGAAAACAAATATTGTTTTAAAATTAAATATGGACTTGTTAGTGAGGCGACATCGTACCACAAGCCAGTCAGAGTTGTGTTCGTCCGTTTGCTTTCTCAGCCACCCTCGTCCAAACGTCGTGTATCTCGTGCTACTCGTACGAAAGCCATTGTTTATGTGTAAAAGCACTGACCTTCACAAGCCCGGATGAAGGAAGGAGATATGCGAAGAGTGATCCTTTTTCAGTTCTTGTAAGTCGTGCTTTGGGTTCAGTGGATCTACAAGGTAACTATTCTTGAGTTCGACGAGTTGCAGGAGTTGTGTTAACGAAGTATTTGATGTAAGGCAGCAAATTGAAAACAACAACTCTTGTTGAGAAAATTAGGTTAATTGAGGCGGTAGCTAGAAGACGGACCCATAGGACAATGTGTTCTTCTTCCGGAGAATGCAAAAATGAATTCTGCGTACTTTAATCTACATCCAAGCATATTTTTATGATTTTATCTCTATTCGTTACGTTGCTAGCGCAATATTGCTTTATATGAAGAGAGTTCCACTTAATCCGGCAAAAGTTACTGATATTTGAGCCTTACGTGGGTACTTCAAGGAAGAGACCAAACAATTCTACCAAAAAATTTTGAAGGGTGTACTTCTTAAGTGTTTACTGGAAATGTCAACAGAAGCGAGTCCGAATCCGATAGCCCACAAGATGAACTGTCAAGTACAAAACTATGTAACAAACCACATTATGAATTGTATTAGCAGCTTATAATAAAAGGAAATTAAAATTTAATAATATTTATACTTTACACCATTTCAATAATAAATATAATGTGTTCTCCAAAAGATGGGCCTATAACTCATGTTTTCCTTTCGTCACATGTTTGGGAGAAAGTATAATTTAATTAATTCATTGAGGAGAATTTAATTATGTTCTAAAAGAAATTAGGTTAAAAAATATTTATAACATATTAAAAAATATGTAATTTGCGATTAAATAGCCCAATGCGTAGTATACGTTGATTAAAAGCATTCAATGAGTTTTTCTCAAAACGGTTTTGACGTCGAGGACTTCCTTCTGGCTACCGTCTCACTTTTGATAAAATAATTTAAAGTTGCGGAAACTCAAGAATATGACATCTTAAAAATAAAGACAAAATCAAGAATGAGTAATGAAAAGGAATATTTTGTAGGTGCTTGTCACAGTATTCACTAGAATCTAGGCACATAACCAAATCCTAAATCATATTCACTTGATGATTCATTCATTTGGGGTCGTTAATTCAAGTATTATTATAATTTACTCCGTTCCCTTATTATTATACTTATTGTATTATAAATACAATATAGAAAAACAAACAAACCCACTCAACGTTCGTAGAAAACAAACACTTGCAAACAAGTCGTAAACTCGACTTCTGCACCAGAAAAGAAATCTGCTCAGCCATCACGCAGCACTTTGGGATAAAAAGTTTCGATACTGTAACGAGATTCTCTCTGCAAAGAGAAATCAAAAACTTAATCAATTAGTTGTACCCTCAAAATATCTATTCTAGTAATGTGTTTTAAAAGGATATAATATTATCGATATTCATAGATAAATCCTCGAAACAACGTATTACTATACGTTTCCAACGTTGTGACAATTTGAGGTAGACTCTATCGATTCCGTTGTTCCGGCATTGGTGCACCTCTACTTTCAATTATCTACATTCTTATGGACCTAAATGTATGGAAGGGGTAGGAAAAATGTCCGCTTAACATTAAATTTGGGTACATGAAAATTAATACCAAAATTCGTAGTGCATTTTCGTGCACTCGAGTCGATTGTAAGACAAGTTCAATACAAAACGAACAAATGAACTTTAATTTTAAAACTAGTGTAGTCTTGAAGTGGGCTTACAACATAAGCACCATCAAGATACTTCCAATAGCTTGGTGAGCGGGATGTGTGCTGTTGCAGGGAGACTCCGGCGGCCCCCTTCTAGTTGACGGGGTCCAAGTGGGCATCGTGTCGTGGTCGCACAAGCCCTGTGCTAGCCCTGGGTTCCCCGGCATCTTTACGGAGGTGGCATGGTACATCGACTGGATTGAAGAAACCATTTCTGCCAACAGCTGAATTTGCGTCAACGTTTAAACCCTCTCGATTTGCCCGACAATATTAATTTCTCAGTAGTAAATGATATTTCTGTCATATTTGTCTTAATGGAAATAATAGTTTTCTTTAATGCATGGTTGAATAAGTTTATTTCAATTAAAATACTTCCTGATCTTGGGCACCCCAGTCGCCTCACATGCACTGAAGATTTTTAAGTGTCATCACACCAGCTTTAAGGTTCAATAAAAACTGATTCTGTTGCAATGCCTTTTTCTTCGATCTTCGTAGTCTGCTTTCTTCTCAGTTTTGAATAGTAATTAGTATTTGTTTCCTTTTACTTTAAGAACAACGTTTTGCTTAAGGGACACATCTTCAATTTAAATCGTTATTTTTTTGCTAAAAATATTTTTTTGAGTAAACAATACATACATACGCATTTGTATGTGTTTCTCGCAACTCTTGATTAGGAAATTAATATTTTCTGATTTTTTTCCATTTAAATGAATGTGATATACTAGTTTTTAATATTGAAATGACTAGAGAATACTTACTTCCAAATTAGTAAGTAACCTTGTAAGGCTATCCCTACCTCATAAACAAACTATAAAGTTCATCGACAAAGTGTGGGATGACATCTGATGAAAAAAAATTATCCACAAACTTTATTATTTATAGAGGAATATCAAGTTGTACTAGTATCGTTTCATATAAAAAGAAAAAAATTAAACAGGATTAAAGGTTATTTAAACGCGGCCATTTTTATTTAATGAAGTGACGTGGACAGATAAATGTAAGTTTCTAATTTTTTTTGTTAAATTAATTTTAAGTCGCATCAACATCTAGATCATTAATGGTAGGTGATTCTTGGGTGAAACTTTAATGTCATTCGGTACATATGTTGATAAAACAATAGATTTCTTAGTTGTGTTGGATTTGGGAAGGTTCATTGCCATTAGGAAAGCGTAATTGTAAGCGCTATTTTTGCTAGCAAAGGTACTAAGCTTGATGTGAAAGGTCTTTCATGAAGCTTGGATGTATAAGCCCAGTCTCTCGATTTCCTATTGGTCTTGTATATGGATGACATAGTGATCTTGATATTTGTTGAGAATCTCGTTAAGGACGAGGTCAGTAGCGGAGTTGCTCAAGTTAGAATTGGAGAGATTCTTGCGAAAAGGATAAGAAGTAAGTTTAGGTGTGACCCAGGGGCGATATTTTGGTGTTCTTCATCTTCCCTCTGATATAAGTGGAACGTTATAGCCCCTGATTATGTCTTTGGTGCCTTCATTAAAGATTTTTGAACATGATTGCAAGTGATGGGGAGCAGTTTTGATTGGTGGGTTAATATCGTTGAGTACAGTATTATTGTTGAACGGGGAAGGTTTGCTTAGATATTTGATGGCAAGAAAATTCCTTGTAAATTGCAGATTAGGATCCGATGCTTCGATAAGGATGCTTCCTCTTGGCGTTGTGTGGAAACATTCAGTACTTATCCTAAGCGCTCTCTCATGTACAGAATCCAATTTTTTAAATAGTTTGTTTTTGACTTGGTTATATATTATACACCCATAGTCGTTTTTTCTACGGATGATAGCTTTGTAAGTGAGGAGCAAAGCATGTTTGTCTGCGCTCCACTTGTTATAGTTCATGCATTTTAGTAAATCTGTTCTTATTTTGACATCAGTGAAGAGATATTTAATATTTTTTTAAGTATGCTTACAGTCAAAAATATGACCAAGGATTATAGTCAGAAGACTCTTCTCATTGCTACCTCTCTCAGTTGTAAATGAAAATCTCCATCTATATTTTGTCTATATATCAAGATGCATTCGGATTTGATTGAAGATACTATGACTTCGGAGTTCAGCGGAGTCCACACTATGACTTCGCGTCCAGCTATGTATTGAGTTCAATGCATCTTCAGAAATCCGCATAATTGCAGATGATAGTAGGTTATTTAATATCTTGATCAGCATCATTAATAAAAATAAAGTTAAACTAGGGTGGATCCTTGTAGAAGTCCATTCTCTAGCTTCAATATTTCAGATAACTGGTTATTAGCACGTACATCGATCACTACTAAAATTCATTATAAAACTAAGAATGTTGCAATAAATGCCGATCTCTTTATGAAGCAATATTAATCGAGGAATCCAGACCATATCGTACGCCTTTTATACACGTAGGTTGACGGCAATGACATGCGTATTGTGGAAGGATATAGTGATGTAAGTGTCCACGCTAACACGATGTGTGTAAGCAGAATACCAATGTCTAAAGCCATATTGATTATTGTCAATCATGTTAAGTGATTAAAAAAATCTTACACGTCTATCAATTATCTTACATATATCACAGATTAAAGATATCGGGCGATAGTTAATCGCATTGGAACTAGTTTTGCCTGGTTTAGATATGGGGATAACAGTTGCTGCTTTCCATAGATTGGAGAAGGTTTTGTATTTAAACATAAAACTAAAAGTATTAAGAACTTTTTGGCCTTCTTCAGGAAGATTTAATATCAGGACGTTGAAGATCCCATCCGGCCCAAGTGTCGAGTAGTTAGTTATATTGATAACTTCGTTTACGTCGTGCATTGTGATTGGAACATTGAGTAGGTCAGAACGTCCCGGTGGGGTTTGGCAGAGGTTGTTATAGGAGTCTTCGATTACATTTTTAACCTTCATATAGGAAACCATCATAATTCGCTGTGCTAGAATTGAATTGAAAGGTTTTAAAGAGCATATCGGCAAATGTAGCAGAATCGTTTATAATCTTGAAGTGGGATTTTAAAAAAGTAACTGGTTGCATTTTCTTCCATGATTCAGACATTTTGGTGTTTATGTTGACTGATGATACATAAGTAGTCCATTATTTCCTTTCGGATTCTTCGCTATCTTTCGGCATAAGACCTGGCTTTCTTGTAAGCAGTCCTGTTCTCTATAGTTCTTCTTTTAAATTCATTGAAGGCACGTGTAGCTGCTTTAATAGCTTCTCGGCATTCATTGTTCCTCCAGGGAACTCTCTTCTTATTAAAATTTACCTGGTAATAATCGATACCTTGACGTGCAGCTTCTATGATAATGGTAGAATCTTGGATTACGTAATTGATGTCAGATCTATCTTCATTCAGGTGAAAACTAGACGAGGCAGAGCTAATGATTTCTTGATACATTATTCACCTTTGTTATAGGTCAGTTTGCTAGAGGAAGGGAAAGGTATGTCATTGGAGCTGGGTAAGACACTATCAATAATAATTGGATAATGGTCACCATAGTATGAGTATTCAAGTTCATTCCATGAACATTTTGGAGCAAGAGGGAAAGATACATTGATTATATTAATGACTCTGATTTTATCATTACTAGGATTGATGTGGGTGGGCTTTCCCGTGTTGATAATTATCAAATCAGAATCTTCTGCAAATTCTTCTATTTATATACCTCTTCTATCAGCTTTATCAGTATATTATTATCAGCCGCAGACTGAATGAAGACTGTTTAAGTCCCCCAGAATTAATAGGGGTTTTGGTAATTGTTTTAGGATATCGCTGAGCTCTGAGTATTCAAGTTTGTGGCTGTTAGGTTTATATAAGTTACACACATTAATACAAATAAGTGCTGCAACCTTCACAGATACTGTTTCCAAGTCAGATTTTATCATAAGGTTATCTGCTGTAGTTGAAGATTTGAAATATATGGCAACTCCGCCGTGTGATCAGTATTTGTTCTATTTTATAACAGCACCGATAATTACTAAAATAATTAAATTTAATTGGCTGAATAATTGGTGTCTTGCATACTTATGTCCGGAGTAATATTATTGCACAGTAATTTTCTAGGTGGCAGTGATGTCCATTGAAATTCCATTGAACAGTTTTCATAATTTCAATTGCAATTTATTCAAAGAATTGTAATTAATGATTACTGTCTGACATAGATTTTGTACAAAAATTATTATGTGCTGTCCATTCTACATTCAGTCTTAGAGAAGACTGATTCAGGTAACTTTTTCTGCATCTTCTTCATAAGTCTAGAAAACCTACCTTTGAGGCTTCTGTCGGTTAATACCTTGTAAGTTCCCTTAAGCATATTAATAATTGCTGGACTGTCATTGGAATAATCTTGAACTACAACAATGGGATCCACTGAGCCTAATGAATTTTCCAGCAATTAAAATTTTTTGTATATTAAGGGAAAAGAACTTGGATTGTTGTCAATGAGCGCTTTTGTTGGACTGAGAGTACCTTCCAGATTTTTTCAGAATTGTTGTGTAGTTCAAGTATTTTTGTGCTTTTATTCTTTTTTGGTTGTTTCAAATTATTTTCTTCTTTTCATTATCAGCATTGGAGTTATTTTTTTCAGATAAGGAAGAGGATTCAGTTGATAGGTTTCTTTTATGAGGAGGAGGGATGCTCATGGGGCCGGTTGAGGGGGGCAATTTCCCATGGTAATTTCTTAAATTGATCTGTACAGTTTGCATACTTGTCCAAGGGCGGTCCAGGGCAGGGTGATGAATCAGATTGGCAGCTTATCTTGTTCAAAGGAGGGAGCTGTCACAATCCATACAGGTGAGTTAGAAGTTTGTAGCAATGAATAACTCAAGAAGACATTTTCTTTTGGAATGCTGTTATTTCCTTATACACCATTATTTATAATTACGGTAGAATTTTCCTTTTTTTGGTCATTAACTAGCAATATGGCCTTCAGATTTACATTTAAAGCAAGTGATGTTATCAGTAGATAAGTATTATAATCTGTAATATGTTTTGATATTGGATTAACATAAATGTAGGTAATTTCTGAATTTCATTAGGGTGAATGAATACCTGCCTTCTAAAACTCAAAATATGAGATAAATTATGATGAGCTTTTTTGATGTCTTCATGTGGGATAACAGGGCAAACATCGAATATTGTACTCTATGTGTTTACTAAGTAAGAATCTGACACTTACTTCAATATCATTAATAGTGAGAGACTTGCGTTTATCTGTAATATTATACGCAAGTTTCTTTGAACTTAAGAATACACAGATCCTGTTGTTGTCGATACGTGACACAAAATTAATATCACATCCTTGTATAATGCTAGTTAGTTTACTCACATTGTCCTTCAGTGTTAACCTTTCATGCGCCTCGATGATCATTGCTTGGTCCTTGGTCGGGAAGACATCAGTAGCAGCGCCAGCGTAAGATTTGGTTTGTGAATTCCAAGCGGTTGAGGTTAAGTTGATCTTTACGATGGTCATGATTGCGGATAGTACCATCCAAAGGCAGCGGCACACGAAGACTCAGTTTTATACGAGAAGTAACTTAATTAACTTACTATCAAGTATCACATTGTCACCAGAAGACATAAGTACTTAACTACGCACATGCGAGCAGAGCGGACAATGTTATGGGTACCGCGCTCAGCTGTAAACTCTTCTATATTTTGTGTGAAAGTTTTTGTTTGTTTTAGAATTCAAAAATATTTTATCATTATTGTTTTGTTTATTTAAAAGGGTTGATAAAGTGATATTATGCATGTATCTATAAATTGTTTTTTAAAGTTTAATATTTCATAGAACGTAAATTTTATATAGAAAGAAAATTGCGATGTCATTTCAGTACTAACAATAATACCCGACATACATTCATAATTTATCGAAGGAAGTTGAGACATTGAATAGGCGAATAGTCAAGTCACGTATTTCAGTATCTCGATAATATACATTGATAAATAGTATATTTGACAAAGCAACGCAATGCAATTAAAACTGTAATCCAATGCAAACTCTCAAGAATGGTTATCTTTTTTTTACGAATATCAAACGAAAAGTATAAGTTTCTTTTTACAATTGGGAATAAAGTAACTGGAATAAATTTCTTCATCAATGTTAATATTACTATTAATCTTCCGTGATGTAAGGAATCAATGACATGAACAAAGTTATGCAAATTGAAAAGTTTTAAAAGAAATTTTATTTCGCAGTTGCTTGTACATTAGCACACACTCCCAAAGCGCGGGAGCCAAATATATTATCATTAAAATCATAATCATCTCCATCACTCTCCTCTCTATTGCCAACCATGGCTGAAGGTACTGCGGTAGGAACTTTAGGCATGAGATGCTGTGGGGAAGGCAGCATCGGGGCAGCACACGCCGGCAAAACTGGAAAAAGTAAAATAAAAATAAGTATATTATTCTCCTGATCAGAATACTTCGATTCTGAAAGAGTTGAAATGAAAATTGTTCAAATAACATAGAATAGATATTTTCTCCTAGTCCTTTAGCTAACTAGCTTTTGTGTTACGGCAGCTGCAATACATTTTTCATTTATATATGTTATTTTTTTTTCTTTTTTTCTTTCTTTTTTTTACTTGTTTTAGTCTCAGCAGTCCAGCTGTGATTATTGTGGGTTTTCTGCATACCAAATAATGTTTCCAAGAGTTACTATTCAATTCCAGGATCTACTGAAATTGTTATTTTTTTACACGATGATGTGTGAAACAATTATGCGAATTAGTGTAGTTACATGAAACCAAACTTTTGTCCTGAAAATTACCATTTTCGATTGTTGCAAAAGAAAGGAAGCCTGTGTCAACTTTTGTTTAATAATTTTAATTTATTTTATGTTTACCACGGTTTTGTTTCATGTCTTAAAAAGAATTTCGTTTTTGAGAGGTGTTTTTTTATTTTTATAGTTATGTGTTTGAATGATATACAGAAGATCAAAACCATCTTCAAGTTAATATAAAAGGATGCTTAGTTTTGGATTTGTAGATTTACGAAAGTTGAAAGTGGTAGAACAAGGTAGGAACTCAAGATTACAATAAAATATTTGATTTACTTTTGATAAAATTTGGTAATTCGACTTACTAATAATTGATACTCAAATATTGCTAATGAACCAAGAGATTTTAAACAATCGTAATATTAATTTTGAACAGTTAAAGGTAATTTAATAAGAATCTCAGATGAGTCATGCCAGGGAGATTAGGCATATGTAATTTAATGTTAAAAATGTTTACGTTCATGTTCAATATTAGTAAGCAATTTTTAATACGGAGGTTTGATGTGTATTGATTATGGGGATGAAAGTGACTAAATTAGGCAAAAGCTTTATTTGCTTAACTGTGTGTTTGCATGCTAGTGAAAAGGTGAATAAAATTCTATTTTCATCATCTATGAATGTTCAATTAATTCTGGGGGCAATTTTAACCCCAATCCCAACAAAAAGAACTTCAGTTAACAGTCCATTTCTTTCATAGTTAACGAAGGTAGAAAACAGGATGTGGGAATGTAAGAAGGTCTCCAAATATACTTGAAAGAAATCAGTTCCGTACAATATCTCAGTTTACAAACGTTTCAATGTAGAAATGTGTAATATTAATACGACAAGTTGAAATAGTTTATTTGAAAATGAATATAGCTGTAAAATGAATAAATACACGAAAGCGAAGTGGTACTCACTCGCCGATGCTGCAGAAGTAGCGCACGTAGGACTGCATGTCCTTGGAGATGTCGGGCAGCACGCAGTGGGGCAGGTGGCGGCAGTGCGCGGCGCCCGCTCCGCTGCTGGCGTCAGTCGGAAGCGCGCACTCCTCGAACGGCTTGTTCTCCTGCAAGGGCGCCGGCAGCGTTCATTACAAAGTTACGGGGTGGAAGGGTGCTTTCGGGACAAGTTGTCTTGGACACAAGACTCGTTCCTTTTTTTCCTTTTAAACATGCGGTACGTTAATTACACACAACACACATTTCATGAATGTGTTACCACGGTGACCCAATATATAAATATAAAATAATTAGTCTTTATTTCAGGAGGGCAAATCTGCTAGGTGATGTCTATGGGAAGGGTGCAGAGGGTGGAAACATGTTGGCATGATAGTTGTAGATAAAATTAATTGAATTGAATTAATACCTTATTTTACGTGGCGAGACTCGGGCCATCAGGCCCGCTCTTCCGTCAGACCATTAAAATTTCGCTACGCTCCTTTCACCAACTAGCAGAGGAAGGAGGTATCGTGGGTGAGAAACAGGGGAAACTATTTTTGAATTTAACTCAGAGGCGTCATTTAGACTTGAGGATCTTTTACATGCAAGTAAATCTACGAACATGGGATGGCCGGCTTTACTTCCCCTCCGAAGGAAGGCGTACAAAGGATTTTTCGCCCTTAAAAATCCACAGCTTCGATCGGGTTTGAGCCCGCCAACATAGGCATACCAGTCCAATACGCTAACCGTTACATCATCGCGGCTGCTAGAGTTCGCTAAAATTAATTTGCTAGAGTCCACAAATGCTTCTTACTGCAGCGCAGATCCAGCGAACAGAACAGTTCTACTGAAGTAAAGATCAACCATATATTTAACTCTTCAGAGAGTATTACGAGATACATATGTTCGGTTTACACTACGAATAAAACTATAAAGAAGTCTCTGAAGACTGTCTCGCTGATTTAAAAAGAGCTTAGTTCATAAAGCTTCCGACAGATCGCAGGAGCCCGACCAAATTTAAAACCCTACAACTATTGTTTTCGCTAAAGTTTTCATCCAAATACCTTTTGGCCTTTATATTCTACCAAAAACTACCACGAAGACAGATGTATAATCATTTTTTTCTACAATTATGATCCATCGAAAAATAACATACCCACCTGCTCGTAATAGCTCAATATATCCACACCTATCGCGAGGTTTGACCGAGTTTTTGAATACATTAAAATTTAATAATTTCGATCTAGAACAAAGATTGTGGTCAATAAGTATTTCTTTCACAGGGGCTTTCTTCAGCTTCAAGGGATGTCCATTCCAACTAACCGCGCCGAATATCCACTATGTCCCTCATGGAGACACATTAACCTTCTAGGGCAATGAGCACTAGACACACTTGCGGGCTCCTCGGGCTGTGGTCAGCAGACTCGCAAGGCCTTCCGTGACAACACTCATACACGAAAGACAAGGAAGCATGCCCACATCAGATTCGAACCAGTAGACCGAGGCGGTGAGTCGGCTCACGCTCCAGCCACCTCGGCCACCCAGGTGGGCGGTCAAAGAGTAAGAAGAGAAAGGGCTCTGACCTCTCTGACGCCGAGGCGCAGCAGCCGCGTGCCGTTGGCCAGCGGCACCAGCAGCGAGCCCGTGGTGCCGTTGAGCGCGTTCGTCAGCCACGCCAGGTCGCTCAGCGTGCCCAGCGCGGGCGCCGGCGCCGGCGCGGGCGCGGGCGACGACGAGGACGCGTGGGGCGCCGCAGACGTCGACTCCTCCACCGCGGGAATCGGCGTCCCCGTGCTCTCGGGGCGGGCGCCTGCAAGCAAAGGCAGCGTCACTCACGCACACGTTCTAAGGCGCTTGGTATCGGGTGAGCTTTCGTTGGCATTTACAATTAAATAATTATATGAGCCGTCATTGCCAACAATATTGTTTATTACAAAATCAGCTTTCGATGACTTCAGCCAACATCAGTTTTCTGCTGTATGGAAGCCACAAAAAAACTAATACTACGACTACAGTAGTTGTTTTTGTGGCTTCCATACAACAGAACACTGATGATGGCTAAGCCATCGAAAGTTGCTTTTGTAATAAACAATATTGTTGGCAATGACGACTCATAATATTTCATTGTTCTAAGGCGTTCTCTACCTATGCGCACAACTTCGTGATGTCCTTAACCAATGCCTTTGACGTTAAATCACTGAATTATGAAGTGCATACCAGCATTGGGAGGGGGGGCTCAGGGGGCTTCAGATCCCTCTCAGAAATGAATAATAAATGTTAAAAAATAGATTTACTAATTTTCTATACTAACGAAAGTCATTCACTGCATCAACAGTTTACGTTGTAATTATTACGTTGCAACTATAAGTAGATAAGTTAAAATACAATTAATGTTCAACGCAAATTAAATATTCCTAGAACAATATATCAAATCGGCTGGTCAATATACCTATAGCCGCCCGCTCTAAAACTGTCATGGATGCGCCTCAGCGCACCAGATTCAATTTATGCTTGAGACTGTTGATAGAGATTTGACCACTAATATTCAAAATTAATATACATTTATACTAAATACAAAGTTAAATTCTGAATTTGTTTGAATACTTCCTGAGTTAAATGTTCTTTGGATACCATTCGATTCCTTGAATGATAAATTAAACAAAATGAATTAAATGTTCTTGAATGGTATGCATTCATATTTCGGACCACTAATCGAAATAAGCTGCTTCTTTTTCAAAAGACCTCCACAGTTTTAGAAATATATGCAAATACTTTAGTTTTCGTAATATCACATTTTGAGCACAATAATTGATAAGAAATATTTTGATAACGATAATTTCAATAAACTTAATGACAAATCGTGGACATGATATCTCAAATATCTTGTTACACTCAAGTAAATTTATTAAAAATGATCAATCTAGACGTTAATGAATATTTAATTATTAACTTGAAATTAATTTTAAGTAACTTAATTTAAATCATTCGTAAAACGTGTGCAGCTTATTTCATCATCATCCTCTTTAACCATTATATGCATATTAGTTCGTATATCTCAGAATATATCTTACACACTTCTAATGCAAATAGGAGGATCGATGAACACTTTTGGCCGTTGTATACATTGTAGAAAACATTGTAACTAAGTTACCTATATGCAATTTTGAACATCTATTTCTGATTGCCAGGCACATCATCCTGCACTGTGGTATGACAGAAATCTGAATTCTCTGACTGTGTTAGAATATGTACTTGCCAAACACCAGTCAAGGAAGACTTGTCTTTCAATGTTCAATATAGCACATATACGATTTTCGTATATGTGCAATATTATGTTATATGTGCAATGCGTGTATGTGCAATATCATATTTCCAATACAAGTTCACTGGCAAAAAGTGTTCATCTTCAACACCCCTACCCCTCCATTTACATCCTCTAGAAGTTGAACATTTATTCCACATAAATACAGTTGTGAAAAAAAATTGTATTACTCTAGGGTAAAACAATTTTAGAAATAACTAAACTAGCTTAAGAAATTGGTTCCATTTGCCCGTCATGCACAAGGTCCAGAAGGCTGCGCGCGGTCTTGCAGCCGAGGCTTACCCGGGACGGACGGTCGAGCCGGTGTGCGGGCCGGAACGTGGGTGGGGCACGGTAGTGGTGCGGCGGGGCTGGGGGGAGGAACGCGCCTGGCGGGCAGGGCGCCCGGCTGCCGCGAAGCCGGGGCGGACGCGAAGGCGACTGCGCGCCGCCGAAGCCCGCCCGCGCCCAGCGCGACGCTGCTGCGAAACACACGGGGCGGGCGGGGTTAGCGGCGGAGGGCGATCATGGGCGCTCAAGGGGAGGGGGGACGGAGGCTCTGGGCGAGACTCTTTCTGGGGCCTCCTCACTTTAGTATGGCCAAATACAGCCGGGTTAAATTTGATCTTCCCATTTAGAAAACACAAATGGACAGAAGTAGAATTGCGTTTTCTAAGTAATACTGTGCAGTTATTTTTACGGAATAAATTCACACAAAATAGAACAAATATCTCTATATATTACTGATTACTAAATGGAGCATATGCTAATTTATTTTTATTCGGCGATGAGAGATTTCAACTTCGACAAATGAAATTGTTCACTACCAAATTGAATAATTTTATAAATTATATTTTTGTGACGCATCCTTCTACGTACAACACAATTTGTGAATTATTTGAAGTAAGAAAGAGTACTTTCATTTCCACAGAAGAAATACATTTAATAATAGGTCTGTAATTTTAATACTATTATGTAATATTTTGGGAATAGAAACATTTTTTCCACAAAATTGGCGGTGTGTGATGATTAACTCGATAGTTCCGGAATAATTATTTCGTCGTTCTGACCACCAGAATGAGTCTCCAAGATTTTCGCCACCGCTCGCAAACCGCAACGCCTTTAGTCGCTCCCATGCAGACTCTCCTCTCCTACGTCGTTTTACACGACGTATCAACGTATCTGAATAGATTTGTGTCAAACAAACGTGTTCTCATACCAAACAAGTGAAACGATTTATTCGTTTCAAAAATCATAACGGAAATGTAGCTACAAAGAATTTAGAACTTGCCTGATATAAACTTTGTTCAATTTCAACGATTACCAACAATTTTGGATTTTTTTTAACGCTACTACAAAACCATTGCATGACTGCGTTATCGATACAAAAATGTCACAAAATAACATTAGAAATTCCCAATTCCGAAATCATAATCACTCGGCGAAATCGTTCTCTGTATAATGGAATCAATCTCTGTGCTCGTGTATGGAAAGTCTTTGCGAGAGACCGCCAAGGGCGCAGCGGCTGCTGCCATCGCCCGGGTGGTGGCGGTGGCGCGGCGAACTCACTCTCACTCTCGAACTCCTCTATCGCCAGCTCCGGGGCCACGGCCTCCATGGGCACGTCTGCCTCGTCATACGCCACCGCATCAAGGGCCACAACATGCCCTCCGGATATCCTGTTCACATCTGGAAAGAGCGTGCAGCCCACCATTTTTGGAGCATAAATTTCACAACACGAAACAGTTACGATTATCAAAAAATAATTTGGAATATTTTATTTTTTATCATTGTCTCATTTTGGAAAAACATATGTGAGAAAAAGTGTGTACTAATAAAAACAAATTGTAAAATTTGATAACGTAAAAATAATGATCAAAAAATTACCAAATAGTCCCAACAGAAAATGAGAGGGACGTACGTAACAATTTGTATTCTTAAAATTATTGTTCAAAAGGGATTCCCATTGCGTCCACTCGAATTCGTTTCTTGAGACGAAAATCCACATTTTCTAAAAGAGAACATTCTTCAATATAACTCTTACACATCACAATCTCAGATTAATGGACGGTTGAAGATAGTTAATCTTTGGTGTGAAGACTACAAAGCATTAATTGCATAGAGCATGCAGAAGTTCTGAATGAGAAGTGTACAAGAAGTTAACATATTTTCAGAAGAGGCAGGCTTCGTCACAACAAAAATAGATTTTTGGCTCTAAAATGAAGACGTTTGATGCATTATCGTTTAAAAACTACAATGTATGCATTCTGTTAACGCCTTAACGGCTTCTGCTACTCTTTCTAACCATTCACTACTTCAAAACTATCGTTTCATTTGTTCAAACGAAATCTACCTCCTCTTATAATATACATTTTTCTTCTAGCCTTAACCCCATTTCACTCGGTCATTTTTTCATCTTTTTCATCGGTACAGAAAAAGTGACAGTCCAGATGGAATGTAATTTATACAGGAAAATGAGGCAAGCTTCATTTCTCGGTGTATATTTCATCCTGCTCGAATACCAGCTCCTGCCAACACTTCCGGGAACCTTTTCTCGTTTGCTATGCACTTGGTGAGATTTGTTCCTTATGTGCAGTTTTGAGAGCGTTCTAATACCTGGAACGACTGTTTGAAGCGAGTAGTGTTGAAAATTAAAATGTATTCTGTGGTAGATGACAATGTGATAGTGAAGACAAGAGATTAATTCGACAAGAAGGTTTGGGATCATGAATACTGTGTATGTACGGGATGGTGCTATTGGTTACGGATGACAAGTGATGACTTGGTGGGGAATGTATAGTAGGCACACGATTTTCATGGTATTAAATATTTCGTTCGAATGAAGAAGTTAAACAAGGGTTCTGAAAGTAACCCGCTCGCTGAGAGTATAAAATTGTGAGCTCCGATTATGGAATAAGTGTGTCTTTATGCCGACTCCTTTTAGACGAATAATTAAGAAAAGTGAGGAGAGAACTTGTTATAGACAGTGGATGGCAAAAGTCAAGTAGATCCTACGCACGGACATTGTGGATATCAGCAATGAAGACTACATTTATGTGTAACATAGTGGCGTCAAGTTATTTTTTTAAAAATATTTTAAACGTGAAGGGATATTAAAGGGCAGTAAAAATTATATTGGAAAACAGGAAGTATAACTTCTGGTTTTGTTAGATTAGATGTAAGGTGTTAATAATTTCCGAGGTTTTCTGTTCTCATAATTTCATTGTTGTCGGTTCAGTACATATTTTTGGCGCCCGAACAGGGACAGTGATTATAAAAGTTTCTCTATTACTGAAAGTAATAATTTCTTTAAAGAAGAAATTAATATGGAAACTAGAAGTAGACCAGCGCTACCACGGTTGGAAGAAGACGCGGAGAAACTTGTTGACGAAGCTCCTGCAATTAATAAAAAGTAAAGAAAGTAATGTTGATGAAGTAGAAATAGAAGAAAATATCTCTTGGGGGGAAATGTAGTTTATTATACTTGTAGTGTTACTGCTGATATTAATGGGAAAAATTGTGGTGAGGAACAAATATTAAGGAAACTAAAGAGGATTATAATTGTGCACATTTCATGCAATTAACTGAAAAGTTAGAATAAAATAACGAAGAGATATATTAAAGATTTGATCAAAATAATTATAATTTTGTCAATTGAAGCAGAACATAAACAGAATAGTCAGGAGGTAGAGAAGATCTTAGTAAATGTAGTACAAAGTATTCAAAAGGTAGAGAGATGTCTAAGCAAACGGTTCAATGGAAAATTTTCAGAATTGAAAACTTAAGTAGACAGTAATTTGAAAGAGATGTATCAGGAAATACAGAATACTAAAAGTAACCAAGGCTGAAATTAATACAAGTTGCCTGTTCAGTACAGTACTATATTCTGATGTCTTGTTTCGCGCTGACCTAAAATAACCGCGACGCGCACAGGAAATATTTTCATTACGATTACATGTAGAAAACTAAATGAACGTGTAAAACTCTTGATCTCATTCATCCATTTTCGGTACCGAAACAGTACAGCATAGAAACGAAAGCCTCTTTCCATGTATTTTCCGAAAAAAAAAAAAGAAAAGAAAAGATGAAAAAAAGACCGAGTCAAATGGGGTTTGTCCACCGATCCGTGTCCTCTATACTCACACGCGACGGGCTGAGTGGCGCGGATATCCAAGAAGGCCGAAGGCAGCCTGGTGAGGGGGCGGCTCTTGAGGTTAAGGCCTGCGGAAGCGCCAGAGGGCGTTGAGAGCACCAAAGGACGACGCACACGAGCCAACAACGCACTCACACGGTGTCATGAACGGTCCCCATTAAAGGATTTTATTGCAGATCCATATTTCCGTTAAAAACAATTTGATGGATTATTTTTTAAACTTTGGTAAATGTTTTTCAATTTTTTCAACTTAAAAATTGAATTGATAATATATTTTCCAAATATATTTTTCCAAATATAGTTTCCAAATATATTTTTTCACCTCGTAATTTATCTGTATATGAGCAATACTCGTAGATATAGGGAATGTAACCAAAACATCATTGGATAAACAATCCTTTAAAGCTTGTGTTTTAAGTCTAATTCTTATATTCTTCAATTAAATTTGAAAATTTTCAGTGTGTTTACATACATTTTTTTGTATTTTATTTGTAATTTAATTTGATGTGGGTTATATTATCGATCTTCATTTCTCCATCACGTTTCAGTAAGATCCGAAGAATCAGATACAACTGGAGCCACCCTTTTAGTGGAGGGAGTATCACAATACACATTTTCACGAATTACATTCTATGAAGGGAAGTCTAAATGTGAAAAATTATTTGCCAGTAGATCTTAACATTTTACTTCTCGTCACTTAATATAACAATCTTTGAAATTTTACTCGTTTGAAATCTTTTGATAATATTTTGGACCAGCACACAGTTTTTAAAACTAGTAACTGAAAATCAGTAAGAATTGCAAAAGTGCACTTCATTTAAAAATGAAATTACATAATGTAAGGCAACTTAATGCCATTACGTTTCATGAGATCTATAGGTCTCTAATATGTATAGTATTGCAATAATAAAAGTCTATCTAAATCCGCTTTTTATTTGCTTTCATTGTGAACATTGCACATGATATGTTTTAAAGGAAGCGAATAGTATTTTTTAAACTCAATATCTCTGTAAAAGTTCTATAACTTTCTGATCGAAAATAGAAGTTAAAGAGTGACAGAAATAGCGGAAAAATCAAGTGGTGACAAAAATTGTCGTGAACTGTCACCGTGTTAGAAATAAGTCTCAGAAAAGGCCAGCGCTACTACAACAGAAAAGCATCTACAAGAGTTGCAACGCAAGCGGCGTAGAAGCTGCACTTAAGCTGCACTTAAGCTGCACTTATGCTGCACTTATGCTGCACTTATGCTGCACTTATGCTGCACTTATGCTGCACTTACTCTGCACTTACTCTGCACTTACTCTGCACTTAAGCTGCGCAGAGGCTGCGCATGCGCGGGGGCTCACCTGGGAAGCCGCTGGACGCGAAGGGCACCCCGGGGCGGCGCGCGCCCTCCAGGTCGGCGGCGCTGGTGCCGTTCGGCTTCACCACCACCAGCGACGTCAGCGGCGTCACGAACGAGTACTGCCAACAACAACAACAACAACGCTCTCATCACCCTACTGAAAGACATCATACTAACGAATGCATGGGCCCTCAACTCAGGGCCGAATTTAGCCATGCACAAAATGCATGGGGGAAAACTGCATTGAATTTCAATTTCATATTCATATGCGCAGCAAAAGAGTTAATTAATGACAAATATAATATCAAACCTACATTGGTTGCATGTCTTCTATTACTAGTCATATAAATTGAAGGGCTCAGTAGAACAGAGGGATATCCCACATAGATATAGTTCGGAGATAATGAAAATTTTACCTGAACTTCCATCTATAATTATACATTTTTAAACTTTTAAACGCAGTACACTTTCATATAAGTCTACACTGAACTTGAATAACATTCTTCAACCCATTACTCTAAAATAATAATTTTTGATGTTTTGTATACTGCTAATAACTACATTTCACAATAGCCCCTTGTTCTACTGTTACTGTTCTGAATTGTTCATTATATCGAATAAGATTAAGACCAAACATTGTACCGCATAAATTAACATTGCTGCTTTTTATCCCGAAATATTGACACGCAATATTAAAAATAAAACATTTACGAGATGTGAATTATGTCCGCAATTGCACTCGGCTCGGAAAAGGTCACGGAGTTCTTCGTGGATTTCCTTCTTCTCCGACGTATATGATCAATCAGCGATGCAAAACGAACCTCCGTCCTTCGACCGGCTAGGAGACTTTCTACGTGGGAAGCCTTCGCTTTCGAAACTTTCTCTTGGGGAAGACGAGACACGAAGAGGCCATATCGACATTTACGGTTCTCTTGCTTACGAGAAAATGTCTGTTTTGCATTTTCGGTTTTCACAAGTCAAGTGTGGGTTCATGGATCAAGCAAACGGAAAAGGCGCTGCTTCATGCCTACAATTACGAGTGGCACAGTTTTTTATATCATTATTGATGTTCTAAAATCTTAATTCAATTAATTAATTTTTTGAATAGTTCATCAAACGTATTAAACCTTAAATCTGAAATTACTTTTTAAACTTCGTGAGTAGTTATTCTAATCATTCAAAATTTTTTCATAGATTTAATTTAAAACATCAGTTCAATAATTGAGGATACCTATTCAGCGGGAGCCATAAGGACATGCTTAGTGAACTTTAAAATTAATGAGTCTCTGGATATGCATCACAGCGATACACACGGCGATGGTCAGATTTAGATACTGCGCCCCCTAATCTAAAAGTAGAAGGCTTTCGGCCAGCTTCGAAACAAAAGGTCTAAGGCTTTTTCTCGCCGCCCGATTAATAAAATCAGTTCATACCTATGGTACATGCTATCTTTTATTTTTTACCAAGTTTTAATGATTCAAATATTTACTAATTAATTAAACGTTAAACTTGACTGTCTTTTCATATTGAACTAACTTAACTCTGTTTTTCTCCCTTGTGGGCCAGCTTCAAGTGGTGGCCCTCGCCCCGCCTGGTATTTCATTCTCTCTCCACAATTGATGTCTAGGGTCCCCCACTCCTTCACCATCCCCCCCCCCTCTTCCTAGTTCTCCAGATCAGGACCCTATCAGTCGATAACCCTCTAAGGTAGCCGCAACCCTTCGTAGCCTAGGCGCTGCTGTGATCCTTAGCGAAGTGGTGGTTAATGACAGAATAGTGAAGGGAATAGTTGATGGAGCGACCCGGTGGAATGCATATCGGCAGGAAAAACGGGAGTACCCCGAGAAAACCTGCCGCGAACCCACATTGCTCAACCCGAATTCCACTTGAAAGTTGAGCAGTCTGACCACTACGCCACGGACCTCCCCATGTCTTCATATTTCCTTCTCATAATTCCCTTTCATTATTCCCTCCATAAGAGAATTGTTGTATTAATGAACTCTTTCCGTATTTCCCTCGTAACCATGATCTTCTCGATCCTGACAAATTTGGCAATGTACAAGCAAGTACGTGATCTTGGCTACCAGGTACGCATACCAGCCCTGAGGAAGGCCACGACAAGACGGTCGTAACGTCGGCAACACTACGACGGTCGCCGACGTCGGCCTTCGACGCGGTGTCACCCGGACAGCCAAGATCACGCACAAGATTCTGGCCGCGGAAGCCTTCGACTTCAATGTATATCAAGCTCGGTGTGGAAGGTAATAACAACAAACATTAACTTGTCAGTGAAAATAGACATTTTAAGAATTGTTTTTCCGAGGGACTCAGAGGGGGGAGGGTGGGGAGGGAAGGGGGAGGAAGGGAGGGATGGAGTAAGGGGCTGACCTCAACCGCAGCGGCGAGTGAGCGCGCGCATTCTTGGCGGCGTCGGCGGCGTCGCGAGCCTCCTGCTCGCCTCGGTGAGGTTGGCCCTTGGGCAGCGAGTCGCGTACTGTGCCTCTGAACCGCGAGTGGCCTCGCGATCGTCAGGTCAGCTGGCGGATGCTCAGGTAGGCCCAGAGCCGCTCCAGCGACGCGCGTCCTTCTTGGCGGCCCGGGCCGGGCGCGCGGGCGTCAGTCCGGCGTGCGGCGGGGTGCGGCAATCAGGAGCAGGGGCTCGCGCGGGAAGCGCTGGCTCCGCATCCGCGCCCGCCGCGCGCCACCACCGCCCACCACCGCCGCGGGCCCGCGCCAGCCGTGCTCCGGCCACGGCGACCAGCTCCCGAGCCGGCGAAGTTAAAACGTCTGGGGAAAGCGCGCTAGGGCTTGGTCACCGGCCTCCGCCTCACGTCTCCGACGCGTACTCGAAACGTCACGTTGGACAGCAAGCGGCGAGCCACCTGCCAAGCGCAAGCACTTCCTTGTCTTAAGGCCCATTCACACGACGCAAATTCATACGCATAGCGCGTAGACTAACAATAACAATAGACTGTAGCACTCACAATGTAACTAACATATAACCGTAAGCAAGCCCTTTCTATGGATGTGAGGCATTCTGGTTTGGACTATTGGTGTGATGTGAGAATTTGATTTTAAGGTATTGATTGTGTCCCATGGTCCCTATGGCCGTATTCTCTCTAACCGACTTCGCTCTGCTTCGATTCTCTATTTTGAGTTACCGTCTGTGGTTCATATTCTTATCGTCTTCCATAAGATCCAAGTCAGAAGCTGAAGCCTGCAGGCTGTTTAAGTTAACGTTCTTAAGTGTTATGCTTGCGAAACGCCATTGTGAATGAGTCCGCTTATGGACATAGTGCTCAACCCTTTATGTTAAAGGCATGCTTATGTTTATGTTTCATTGTGAACTATGCTTCGGGTGTATTTCACGTTCAGCAGTAACCAGCGTAAGCTAATCGATGTGCAAAGAAGTCTGTAATATCGATAATGGCAACGTGTGGCTCATGCGGGTATTCAAGTATTCTTCGACTCTCCGGGCAAAACAGGGGGTAGACACGTTTTGAAATTTCTCTTTTTACGAAAAGTGACATTTATCCTTAAAAACCAACTGTTACGCAGATGATTCATACATGCCATGAAGGGTCATTTAAATGGCGCAATATCTTATTCCAAATGTCCACGAAGATAGTAATTTATTTCTTCTTATTAACTTCTGCTCAGTCAAGACACGTAATTCAGCTCTTAATCGATAAATTTAGACTGATAGTTATCAATTGTGGCCAAATCAGTTCAGTTATACGAAATCGTACCCTCATCGACAAATTTTAAGCTGATATCTTTGGCCCAATTCAATGCAGTCCAGCCGATGAATCCGCTCCGCATCCGAATTTCGAGGGGGTGGGGAAGGCGTGGGTGGGGGGGGGGGAGCGGGAGGGGGGCGCCCACCTGTCGGTAGAAGTTGCGCAGCTGCAGCGCGGCGTCGGCCGCCTCGTAGATCTTGCGCGCGAAGCCCGCGTTGCGCAGCGACAGCTTCTTCAGGAAGGGCAGGTCGGCGTCGTCGCCGAAGGCCAGGCTGAACAGCGCCGAAGTCGGCTGCTCGTTGCGTTCGCTCACCTGAAAGCACAACCTCCGTTGAAGCGCTGCTCAACCGCGCTCCACCGCTCATACCCAGGCGCTTCCCACAGGCGCAAAGCTCCTCTGTTACCCAAGCTCTCCGTGCCCTTTTAAAACAAATGGTGCCTTGGAAATGTTTGATTTCGGCGTTTGTGTCGGTCAATACGCAGATATCTAGCGGATCCAAGGCACCATTACGAATCAATGGAATTATTTTGAAAATTTAGTGTTTCAAAAACCAACACAGCACTAAAACGTAAATAATTATTTAGGGAAGAGCGTATATTTATTTTGGTATATCGTTCCCAGCATGAAAGTCGTAAATGTTACTGGATGATGTTACTCAGATGCTCCTTCAGAGACTAACGGACCGCCTCAGCATCTTTGTATCTGACAATTATAATGTTCGGAGATATAATTGTATTGCTATATAAATTTCTTGTATATTTACACATTTCTTGTTATCTTATACGTCTTACGCGGTAGATTTGAATTCAATATCGTAGCATATTCAAATAGATTAATAAATTTCTCAGCCAAAATTTGTATCACATCTTTCATGCTGAATATAATGTAAGAGTGAAGCTCTTACGAGACAAGTTTGTAAAATAAAATTAAAATGGCGTGGATTCAAGTCAGAATTAGTTTGAAAATAACTTTACTAACTACAATCTTTTTATAAAATGCTAAACCCCTCCCCTTTGTAAAATATTGAATCTATGATAGCATATAATTTTATTTAATTCAGAGGGTTAAAAACGCTTCTTAACTGTTAATAATGTGCTGTTACAGTACGTCTTTATCATTTACGGGTGTTATATCTACTCATGCACATACGCGCTCTTGCAGGCAATAGGTATCTGATCTCCTTCTACCAGTTGAAGTAGTTGGTAATACGGCTCAAAGAATGCGCTGTTGTGCAAATGCAAATGCTGCCTGTTGTGTGCATGCTTCGTGCCATTTCGAAGATACTTCTATTCGTTTATGCAATTGATAACGAATCATTTGTTTCAGGAATAACGGTTTTATTGAATGAGTGTGAACCATTTCTATCAATACTAGTATCACCAACCCTTCCTTACTACACTTGGTACATAAGATGTATCGTGTTATTGAAATTATATTGATGAATAATGGACAAAAGTAAATGAAATATTACACGACAGTAAATATACTTGATCTATTCGAGAAATCTAACTCACTCGCTACCATCGTCGCTCGTGAGGCATCCTCTCGTAGATGATTTATCTTAATAATTTAATATGATAAATTAACGTTGAATGAATAATACGTTGACAATTGCCAAACTAGTCAAATGTCAATACACCACTTTTGACACTTCTTCCGCAAAATTGTTCTGAAAATTAATTTTTTTAAAGAAAACTACGTATAATGCTAAAATATTTATTTAATCAATACAAAAACTGAATGGGCTGCCTCATAATAAATGTTACAAAACCGTAGGGCACGTAGGGGATCGAAGACAACTTTTTTTCAATAAACATTAGTGAAAAATTATGTAAGGATGTTAAACATGTAATTTTTGTCCCCATATTGTTACGGGACTCATCATGTACTGATGTTTGGCAGGTTCTCGAAACCACATTGTCAGGAGTCAAAACGCATACCTTTCAAACACCGGTGCGCAATAAGTTTCCAACCAATCGGGGCAAGTGCTGCATGTGTAACTTCGCCGTTTGAAAATTCACACCCGATAAATAACTATCTGCCCATGAAAATACCCAATCCCTCCCCATATGCCCTAGAAGTTTGTAACATTTACTGTCAGACACTGCAGTTTTTTTACGCGCAGTTTTTTGAAGAACTTTATAGTGCCATTTAAAATAGCATTCAGTTTCCCTTTATTTTTTAATTTAGCCAAATAAAAATTCCCACCACTAATTACTTGTCAATTAACATCTTCACCCCCTTACATACCCTAGAAGTTTGTAACATTTATTCTGGGACACTGCACTGCTTCACGCATTTAATGAATTTAAAAGCATTTATAATATTTAAAGTAGCAGTGAGGGGGTGGGGAGGAGGGGGCACTCACCATCTGGAAGATCTTGTGCGGGCGGCTCTCGCCGACGGTGGGCTCTCCGTCGGTGAGGAAGACGACGATGGGCTCGGGGCGCGGGCCGCCCTCGGGCAGCGTCACGTTGCGCAGCCCGTCGCGCGCCACCGCCAGCGCCGTGCGCAGCGCGTCGTGGATGTTGGTGCCGCCGCCCGCCGTCATCTTGTTCACGATCTCCTTCGCCTTGCTCACGTACTCCGCGCTCGCCGGGTACGCGGCCGGCGCCGGCGGTTCCGCGGGGCCCGCCGGCTTGTCCGCGCCGAAGTGCGAGTACGGCGAGTACACCACGTTGTTGGACGCGGAGTCCAGGTTCCACACCTAAACAGGCGGAAGCGGGCTCACGTTAGAGCTGTGTGCCTCCCGCTGACAGGTTCATCCCACCACCCACGCTCAAAACGAGGTTTTCAAAATGACCTTCAGTGAATGATATCAACAAATGGCCCAACGCGACTTGTGTTCTTTTAAAACGAACAATTTTTCCATACACCAAGAACGATTATATTACTTTATTTAAAAAGTAGTAAATAGCCCGTACTTAATGAAATTGATTATTTATGACCTTCGAAAGTAATTACATATTTTTCCTCTCTCACCATTTTCTACAGAATTACATAGAACGTACCATTTGTTGTGTTCAATTTTGAAGAAACTAAGAGGTGGAGGGCTGCATAATTATTTTTTTTAAATAATTGAAATTTGTTGAAAAGTACAACTGCTAACTTTGCCTAAGAATAAAAAGCGTTGCGACAGTCTTTAATGCAAGAAATTAATTATTGAGAAAGCAAACCATTTACAATGAAAAGACAACAACTGTTTGTTAACAACATATTAAGGTGATGAAACAATGCAACCAAACTTGTTCCATTTATTGATTTTTCTAAAATTTTAAATTAATTCCAGGTTTGAAACAAAATGAAAGACAACTAAGATTGAAGGTAAAATAATAACAATTTTATGTTCTAAAATATTTTTTTACATTAGTCTTTAACATTTAGAAAATGTTTCTCATCTACAATAAACCTTCAACCTTTTCTTAAGAGAGACTATGTTATTGTCGTACTACTTCAGCAATCTTAGGTGATTATAATTGCTTTAATGTTTATGGAAGATTATGCGGATAATCTTAGACTTCGCCTGACATTCCCATTCGAATAATTCATCAAGTGGATGCCTAAAACATCTGTGTGTAACATTGCTTCAAATGATGTTACCGTGACGGAGTAGGAGAACTCGAGCAGGTTGAAGTAGTCGCCGGGCTTGAGGTCGCCGAGGATGGTGGTCATGGCCTCCTTGAGCTGCTGCACCTTGCGGCCCTCCATGGAGCCGCTCACGTCCAGCACGAAGATGACGTGCTTGGGCAGCGGCGGCAGCTCGTCGGGGGCGAAGAAGTGCACGAAGTAGCCCTGGTCCAGCAGCACCTCCCCGCCCTGCGGGTCGCGCTCCACGTCGTACTGCACCACCAGCTGTCCCACCAGCCCCTCGGCCGCGGGGCTCCGCGCCGCTTGGAACGGGTTCTGGAGACAGGCAAACGCACGCCTTCATCACTGCCTCATGTCCGCTCATCAGCGGAAGGGAAATATCGTTGCAAATTAAATCGAAGGCATTGCAAAAAATCAAGAAATTGCCTAACTTTGTCATTGAATAATTTTCCAACTCTATAATTTCAATACGCTTCCTAGCAATTACGTGTGCTCCATCCGCAATACATCAGTGTTTAAAGGGTTGCCTATCCGCAGGCACTCCCAAGTAGTTTCTTGGAGAGAAACTATCGATAAAGATCGTAAGCTTTATAGCATTGCAGAAGTTTTAGGTCTTACTTTGTGAGAATTCCGAGCGTATATTTTTAAAGAAACAATATGGGGAAACTTTACTTTTTCACGGATCACTAATATTTAAGATACTCTGCTCTTTTGAGGCTTTAATGAATACTGAACGGTATAAATATGATGAACATTCTCATTTTAATTTTTTTCAAATAAAATTTTTAGCTCTGTGTACATGATCAAAACGTGCTGTAGATACATCTTTAGAGCAGGGCTCAAATCTTGTGACATAGAGAAATTAGAGTGAGAGATGGTTCTTCTGAGTTTTGGCAGGTCGTTCTTTGATTCTTGGAGCTAAAAAAAGAACGCTGTGATATTAGAGCGTTTAAATCCTCCTTTCATTGTATTCTAGGGCGAGTTGACTAAAAGCACCAAATGGGGAGGGTTGGGGCAGAATTTGAATTACCGTTTTAACGTGTGGCCAGGAGATTTTTTCTACGCGGTTCACTCACAAACTTCTATAATACTAAGAGGGCTGAAAAACTTATTACTTCTATCGATGACAACGTCAGGGGAGGATATAGGAAAATTACATAAGTGACATTCACGCAGATGGTAAGTAAAATATTTACCTCTGCTGTTTAATAAGGACACGTTCGGACATGGTCCATAAGAATACATGTACCTTTTTTTTTTGTAATTTAAGGTAGCATCAACTTCTAGCGACTACTATTGCGTGTAATGGTACGGTAACTGTGAAGATGACACGATATGATCATGATAGGGGAGTGAAAGGACGAACACAATCCAATCATGCCCGAAGCGGGACTGGAACCCGCGATCCTTCGGTCCGAGATCGCTACGGCACTACTGCCTTGGCGATCTCGTCCACCGGATGGGCAATCCATGCGCATTGTTTGTTTGTTTATTGTGAACGGTTTCACGTGGGGGGCGTGTGGAGGTGGGGACTCACCTTGGGTTCGGCGCTGCTGGCGGCGAGGGTTGCGGCGATCTCGCGCTGCTGGTCGGGCGTGGGCGCGAACACCACCCTGGCCCTGCCGCCGCCCAGGCGCTCGGCCACCACGCCCGGCGTGGCCGGCGCCGGCTTGTCGGCGTCGTTGGCGTCGGCGTCCAGCTCGGCGTCGGCGGGCCGGAAGGCGGGCGGCCGCAGCGCGCTCAGGTTGCGGCTCTCCTCGACGAGCACCTCGACGCGCAGGTCGCGCACCACCTGGCCCGGCGCCACGTGCACCGCGTGCGTGTACGCGCCCAGCCGCCGCGCCAGCAGCTCCTCGTACGTCAGGTTGAACGTCACCTTCTGGCCCGGCGCCACGTTCACCGCCACGTTGAAAGTGTTGGCGTCGCGCGCGCTAAACAAGGCGAAACTCCCACGTCAGACATTTATGTCGCTCTCGTGAAGACATGTTACTTAGATTATGATGCTATTTACTTTAGAATTCACATTTTTATTAATAAATGCCAGGTCAATTAATCGTAAATATATATGATACGTTTTTGATCACCATGTTTCACAAATTCTCAGCTTCTCTAAGCTTATTCAAGCAGATATAAAGAGTACCTAATTCCTTACATTATCACAGCAAATTGAAAATATATCCTCACAGCATTACGTGTAAAAAGTTCAACAAATTAGACTCTGGGGGTTAGTCAACGACTATTTCAAGTTTGAATTGTTGCTTTCACTAATTATCCGAAAATGTACTGAATTCTTGTACTACGTTAACAACCCTTTAAAGAACTCTGTCCAATGGGAAACAGTTCGGATGTAAATGAACCGAGAATCTGGTCAAGACACGAGTCATCAGCTCTTCCCTGAACAGTAGGTTTGCAGTATTTGTTATGAGCGATACTTCCTCAGTATTTAATCCAATCTCGTGTAAGATGTGTAAATTAATTAATCCAACACATCATGCACTGCCTTTCTCTTGGGCGTAGTGCATTTAGACGCGATAAAAATCTTAACGAAACGCTGCTCTGAGGAGCGTGCAACTCGCAGCACACGAAAGCCGAGTCAGAAGAGCCGCTCGGAACCGCGCGCGCAGTCCAATCTGATCCGAGCCGAACGGCCCCGCGCAGGGAAAGCCACGCCGCCGCCTGCACAATTATATCCTCGTTTACGAGCGGCGCGAGGCCGACGGGCCCAGCCACCGGCGCCGCCGCGAGAAGATGCGCACGCAGAAATTCTCACGCGCGCGCCGGCGCTCCCCGAAGTGCCGCGTCATTTGCGAGAATCCCCCCTCCCCCCGCCGTCGACCCATCCGAGGCGCTGCCCGTTGACGACTTCATCCTTCGCGCAGGGAATATTACCGAGCGATTGGAGACCCTGCAGGTGGAGTGACTGGCGGGTGCTCGCACCAAGCGCTGGAAGAGTGCAGGCCGCAGGGAGCGTGGGAAATTTTCCAATTACTCGCAACTCGCCGACCTTTGCTTTTCAAGCACAGAGATCGTGCGAGGGGCAGGAGGTGGAACTTATTTTCTCTGCAGACTCCAACTCCGGGTTCAAGAAATTTGGCAATATTTATTTATTGCTGTCCTATTAATTCGGTAAGTAAACTTATCCCATCATAAAGTTTAATGGCAAAAAATTATGAGCACGGTTACATATAATTATTAGTTAGTAATAATTTATATTTATGTAGATATCAAATTACAAATGCTATACTTTCCTATTAGGGTGCAAGACGGAGCCTTATAAAGGGGGAGAAAAAATGTGAAAATTGTTTTCATAACTTTCCACCATGTTTATTGATAGTTTTCCAACGGAACATTCTCTCATTTCTATGCATTGTTTTAGATTAGAACAATCGTCAAAGAAATCTTATGAGAATCTAGCTTTTGGAGTCTTCAACGTAAGCACTTTAAGCAGCGAGACGCAGATGAAGAGAATAATCGCCCGTCAAATTAAGTTTCCAGGCTGACTTCTCGGGAGTAATCGAAATCCGAAACTCCGATTTAAACACAGTAGTATTACTTCAAGATCACCAGCTGAAAGGAAAGGGGGACATACATCCAAGCGTGGGCTCCAATACCAAAAATTTGAGTCATCATGAAGCTGCCGATTGAATGACTGTCGCCCTCTCTCTCCATCTCGTGACCTTGAAGAGCCCCCACATTTAACCGGATTATCAGCAATCGCTCACTTAACGGGTGTTCGCTTTTCGTGACTACGCTATCTTCCGGCGCTCAGAAAAGAGTGTTTCGTATTTTGTATTAGCATAGACTTTCTGGAAAACGTACTAGTTCTTATACATTATGGTGGTACGATTAATTGTTAAACCTTCACAAGAATTTAGATGTTCCTATCTGATAGGTGCAATATTAATGTTCATTGGTTTTGCTTCCAGTTGTCCTTTTTTTCTGGATATGTACTCTTTTGGTCTGTTACATAGGCCGGGGTGCTTTTTTCAATGAAGTCCTCTATTGTTTTTTGTCCTGGTATAATAACGAAAATTTTATAAAATATCTTAACGAGAAGAATGCCTATTCATATATTAGCGATTTTTTTAAATCAATTTAATAAAATGAATTTCTTAGCCGTAAAATGTATTGTGAGAACATAAAAGTCTTGTCGCATTATTTAAAATGAGCAGAATCCTTCACACAATTACACTTCACAAATTAATTCAGGAAATGTGGTAATTACCACTACGTTTGGAGAATTCCATCCTGTAATGGAAATGTGGAGAGAATCTTTTCCTTTAATGCATATATTGTGCATTGGAAGAGAACGTTTAATTGCGAAAACAACGGAAGTCATTTTGATCGTAAAATATAATTATATATATTATTCGTGACATTTCAATAATTTCTTCATTTCTAAACCAGATTTGTCAGAAAAATAATTTACAATGAAATGCATTTGTCACCATCCGCACGCAATACAGGTGGAAGTTAAGAATTAATATTGAATTCCATCACTTACAGTAAGTAGAAAATTGTGTGTCAGCACTTTTTTGCTTGCATAAAGTTTCTTCCTGACAATGACTGCAAGTCCTTTTTCTCCAAGCGGAGATCTGGCATCTGTATTCCGTTTAGCTCAAATTAGAATTTAAATAATATATATATTTATTTTTGGTCCCTTCATAGAAAAAAGTATATGCTAAGCTATTGAGTTAATGTAATTTTTCTTGCCAATCAGAAAATTAAGTGTACGACTTATTTCATGAAGGTTACAAAAATTGTGGAGTTTCATGTGTAAAACTAAGTGTAAATTATGTTTTGAAATGCTACCATAAAATATATAAATTATTGTACATTTAAAAAAAAGAAACCGGTGAGTAAATTCAACTCAATTGATCCTTTCATTATATACCTAGGAAGCAATCAGTTTTCTATTACAACTAGAACATTTTTCTCTGAATCTAGACCTTCTGGACCGCTAGAAACGTTTGTGAAAGCCGATATGTGCGTGACATTTTAGAAGCAGCTTGCTTTTCCTCAAAATTCCTCTTCATTTGATGAAAAGGAGGAAACATGCCTTTGCAGCAATTATATTAATGGTAATAAGAGATAGCGTCTACGACATGTGATAAGAGGGCAAGATATTGGCGGCTGTAATATTTCAACGATGAAAATATCGTTAACGGTACTTTCGCTCAGAATGTACTGTACATTAGTACTAATAAGTATATAACGGTGTCGTGATTATCTCAAATACATGAGAAATGAGATATCCAATATATTTAAAATATGTTAATGACCCAACTATTCTGTTCATCATCCCCTTATAGGGAGACCTCTGACACGTTTATGGTTTGCAGTAGAAACAATTTTTATTATATCTAACGAAATTTCAACCCAGAATATTGCATACAATTTTAAACTTGTATCTTTGTAATGTGGAATAAATAAGAAAAGAAGTTGTATAATATTGTTCAGACGCTTTCCTTTCGATATTTTTGAACATTTGCAATTATTAAGCGACTTAAACTGCATTTATTACATTATTATTCATCTATTAATCACAGTGGAAGACTTATTTGTAAAATATTCCGTAACTATTTTAATATAAATTTTTTCTAAAATTTCTGCCAATGATAGTCATATCAGTTGTGAGTAGATTGGAGAGTTGAAAAAAAGCATCCACCAATTTTTCGGTTCTTTTACTTTCGGGATCTGATCAAAGTGTGGCTCACCTGACTGCAACGTGAGCCGCTGTCTGTCCGCTAGCAAGAGCTGCATCATATTCCTTCTTGGCTTCTTCCTTCTCTTTGACGTAGGCTTCATAAACCTTGCCTTCCGTTTCACTGCCAACAACAAAAATCGAAATGAAACCTCCAATTCGTCAGATAGAAAACTTACCTTCGCAATGCATTAAGCTCATTCAATGCAACACTCAAAATAATGTTTAGGTTTAATGCTTAATATATTTTATCTCCTATTACATATTTTCAAAAATAGAAATCCTAGACAATAATAATGAATTAATCACTAGTAAATATAACAGTAGTAAAAAATAATATCCGAGTAAGTCCTGTTGAGTACAATGTAAATGTATCGGGGAAATGTAAAGGAGGTTATTAAAGAGCTACGAAGTGCAAGATCAGAAGAATTAGAAGAGAATCAAACAGTCCAAATATAATTATTCCTACAAGGAAATAGTAAGTTGTGTTTTACTGAAAAAGGTACGAAGACTTTATAAATAGAGATAGAGAAGTTTTAGGGTTGAGAATGAATCTGGGGGAAAAAAGAAACTTGGGAAGATGGTGAGGAGAGACGGAATTACGTGATCAAGGGGAAGTTGGAGAACGGCTGACGTAGAACGTATAGAAAGATAGAGAAACTAAGAGGGGAAGCAAGAGAATAATAAAATAGAAGAATAAAGGGAAGGAGAAAGTTAAGTAGATATAACAATAAGTATAAGAGGGAAAGATTTATAAGTAATGGGGAAGTTGTAACAAAGAAATCTGAAGAAATAAGAAGAAGAATGAACAAAGATGGGGTGAAGTCTTCAATGAAATGTAGATATAAATGCTCTTTGTGAAATTGTATAAGCGGTACTTCAAAAAAGGTGAATAAATGGCTTTTATGATGATTTGTTGATTATCTTCTGTCATCTAATTTGAATTTCTGTACAGCACAAACTTCGCGTGTCTCCACGCGTGCACCCGTGCTACTCACATGAGGAAGGCCGAGATGAAGGCGGTCTCCGGCAGCACGAGGGAGAACTGCGCTTCCTGGGCCTTGGGGGCGCGGTTGGCCAGCCTGCTGGAGACGACGGTGCGCGCGTAGCGGTGTGTGATGCGCGAAGTCACGTGCAGGCTGTAGACGTCGGGGCGGCTGTCGGCGGGGGCGGCGCCCTCGCCCTGGGCCTCTTTGGAAGGGCCGGCGGCGGCGGCCACGGCCGGCAGCGGCGGGAGGGTGGGCTGCGGAGCAAAAACCACACGAGTTGCACATGGCACCGTTTGGATACCTCATCGAGAAGTGCCACATTTTGATCGTTTCTTTGAAATCCAATTCTCTGGCAGCTCTTTGGTTAGTTCAGAGGGCATTATCCTTCCGAAATTACTTCATACAATCAATCAATCAATCATCGCATATCGGTGGGTGAGTGGTTAGCTTAATAGCGTTTCAACTCCCAGAGCGAGAGTTTGATCCCGGACGAGATACGTGGATTTTCAAAGGGTTGAAAATTCCAATGCCCATGTCGCCCTTGCGGCCTAATTAAATCATCTGACAATCCATCCTGTTCCTAATCATCTTATTTGTTTAGACGGGAATTCCTTAAAAATGAATAAAAAATTTAAAACTATTATTATGTCACACAATTTTAGCTAATACGAGTGTCAACAAATTCTGGTAACATCGGGAGCCTGTAGGGACAAAGTTCTCGGCAATTTCGTCCTCTGCGGGAGTGGTTCAATTTCAAAGTGCCCGTGCATTTCTTAACAAACGACCTTATTTGAATCCTCAGAATTTATTGCTGTATGAAAATATTCTAATTTCTTGGAAAACTAGTCCTTTGGACCCCCAAAAATATTTCAGGTCAATTTAATTTGCGATTATAAATTATTTTAGGATTTGAACATACTGAGAACCAGCATGTACTTCGTTGTTTCTAGGAGGTACAATGGTTCATTTTATAGTTTGAGGGCAAGGCCATCGGTAGCTCGTGGTTAGCGTGCTTATTTCCACGGCGCAACCGTTGCTCGTTTCCGTGCTTTATTCCCGGTCGGGGCAAAAACTAATTGTGCAGTTTCCTTGCAACGTCCCGGTATCTGTTGCTGTACGACAATCAGAAAGCTCACTTCTCACATGGGAATGCCAGAAATACAGCGTAGGATTGACTATGTGCTAACCACACGTACCCATGGCCGTAAGGTCAGGACCCTGCTGGTAAGTCTTAGCTCGTAAAGAGATGTTATGCCAAAGTACATACAGTACATAGTTTGAGGATGCAATACAAATGTAACCAATACATTCTAGTCCAATAAAAGATTACAACCAACTCTGGTAAAATTTGTGCATATCTAAATTAGCTTTTATGAGGATTGCCACAGTAATTTGCGTGTAAGCAAGGAGATTTTTCGTTTTCCTTTCCACAATGGTGGTTTGTTTTTAAAGACCTGCATTTCCGCAACCTAAGTCTGCAATGGGGACGAATTCTTGGATGATTAAGAGATTCCGATACTAAGGCATTATTGATTGAAGGCATGCCAACCTTTCGGTTGTCATGCTGCAACTTTCTTAAGGAGAAACGGCAAAATCCTACCGAGGGACCAATAATCCATTTATTATCCTTAAATATAGAGTACAGAAGAGTAAATGATCGTAATGGTGAGAAAAACATGAATACGGTTGGTTTGTATAGGAAAAGTGTTGATGCGGGAAGCCAACCTTGCCACAACCGCATTGTGAAAACACCATGCTTTAAATTAGATTCGAACTTCCCAACCTAAGGCAGCACCGAGGTTTAACGCCTGTGCGTTACCGAAGCAGACAATAGAAATGTCAATTTTGTTTTAAGTAAAAAAGTTTATTAAATTCCCAATGTGAAGTGAAATTAACATACAGGGTTAGAAGTTAGAAGTTTTAAAGAAAGTGGTTTATTCAAATTTACATTGCAAGGAATAATTTCTTTGTTTAAGTCTGTAATTCCTTTTGTTTAAAGTCTGTGGATTCATGTCACAATAGACACCGTATGTATGTAAATGACCTCTAGATTGCACAATTTCCGTTAATATATTAAAGTGTTAAAAATTACTAATTTTTGTAAAAAAAATGTAAAATAAATGTTGCCAGTGCGTCAACACTTCCCATAAAGTATCGGCCGATCTTACTGAGAAAATCTATACGGTATAATAATGTAATTAAAATGTATCGTCGTTGCATAAGAAAAGTGACAACTATTAAAAAACGTCCATTAGTTTTATCCTAACAAAAGCAGTTTTTCATTCAGAGTCACAGCGTTTTACTCTACAAACAGTCAGCTTTCTGAAATTTCCTTATGAAAATTTTACCAGTTAAAATATACAAACTTTTATAACCGTTTTCTTCACTTCCCTCACGCAATTCAAACATTGAAGTGAGTCACTTTCTTAATTGCCGAAGATACGAAATACCAATTATGCTCAAATGGTTGAAATACGAGTCGTTTCATGTATTTTGTAATAATGTTTAGAGCCGGTCTAGAAAACATGACAGCATCAGTGAAAAAATTGGAACAGCGCATTAGTGTAAATGGTTGCGAGTTTGCATCTTAAGTTTCTTATACCAGGATGTTGCAGTTTCGAGTCCAGAGCAAAATTATCACAGACATGTAGTTGTGTATGCAGATGATACTATTTAGAATCACTCTGCCCTGATGGGTTATTTCATTATTTCACTGCTATCAATTCCAGACAAATGGAGTTCCACTAAAATAGGCCACAGATTGCGCGCGTTTTTTCCTTTGACATAATCACTCGCATCCTTAACGCCAGATGGGGGTGTAGGCCTCCCCAGATCACATGCTCACCCCCGGGAAGGTCTCCCATGGGCATAGGGGGCACAAGTGAAAAGAGCAAGAAGAGGAGAGTTACAGCTTCGACGGTTGCAAGATTTTCGACGCTAGTTCGAGTTCTTACACTGTTTCTCGATAATAACCCTAGCAACCGACTGTTTTGACAAGTATCTGTCCGTAACTTCTCCGATAAATATCAGGGAAATTCGGAGCAGTACCTTACCAAACTGGCAACGGAATGGATGCGATCTTTCTTTCCTTCCCATTCCTTGTCCTATCCTCACCCCTTACACACCCTTACACGTGCATGCACTTCACGACCACACATGCCGGGAGACCGGTCGGAAGCTTAGAGCATGTCCCGCTGGTAGGAGATAACTGGTTGTGGAAAACCGCGCTAGCCATGGAAGGTCGGCGCCGAATTTCGCTATCCAGCGATTTAACATCTCTACCACTACCGCCTCCCGAGCAAAACATGCACCACACTTACGAGGATAATGACCTTAGCAGTTGACGCGCTCGGAATCACTGGTAATCGATCAATCTCCGAGCAAAATTCGAAGGATGAGAATGTCCGAGACCGAAGACGATTCTAAGGAAGGGGGTAGCGTAGTACTCGACTAGCTATCTGGCTAGTGTCGAAAACCCTGCGAAGTTCTCTTCCTTTTTCGAAGAAGAGGCTAGAGGAGCCATGGCCTCGCGAGCGAGGGCGTCCACCTCCGCGCTGGTGGCGGAGACTACGCAGCTCACGAGGCGGCGCGGCGAGCGGCGAGCGGAGAGTCGGGGCGCGGGTGGCGTCACCACGGGCGGCTATTCGCGGCGCTGAGCGCCGAGCGCAGGTCGCGGGTCGCGGGGGTCGGCGCCGGCGGCGGCGCCGCAACCACGAGCAACACGACCGGTGGGAACCCATCGTCACCGCCGACACCTGCGGCGACCGGCCTTCGTCAGATGCGTTCACCCGCGGGACTCTTCACGCTCGCCCCAAGCCATGCGATGCGATGCGATTAGCCGTCTCTACACCAGAGGGGTCCTCAAGCGAGTGGTACGTTTGCGAGGCGATATTAAACAACCAAGAGACGCCCAGTTGCAATAAATTATGAATATATTTACATTTATTTCATCATTTGATACGAGCATTAAAGACGTGAAAGAAAAAGTGACGTTTCTTACAGTGTCCCTTAAATGTTGCCCCTTTTATCCGTAAATCATGTAGTAAATTCTACCTCATTTCCATGTTAAATAAACAAAACACAGGAAGAGGTGGCTCAGAGCATTAACAGATGTTATGGCAGAACTTCTGACCGGAAGATTCTGGGTCGCAGGGTTTTCGACACTAGCCACATAGCTAGTCGAGTGGTAGGCTATCGCTGTCTGGAGACTCTAGTAGCCGGCTGTTCTAATCTGTAGTTTTTCCTGGTTTCCCCGATCAATACCAGGCGAATGCCGGAGCAGTGCCGTAACAAACGGGCCCCGGACCGCGCGCGATCTTTCCTTCCCGTTCCTTGTTCTATTCTCACCCCCCCCCTTACACGCATTTCACTTACATGCACTACACTACCGCGCATGCCAGGAGACCGGTAGGGAGCTTAGAGCTTGTCGCAGCAAGGGCGGTGCCCCGCAGGTGGGAGATGGGTGGGTTATGGAAAACTCCACTAGGCAACGGTAAGTCGGTAGCGCCGGATCTCACCATCCAGCGAGTCAAAACATCGTTACTTTGAGCAAAAATATGCACTACACTTACGGGAATAACAACCTTAGCCGTTTCTACTCTCGGAATCACTAGTATTGAAACAATTCTTAGTTCATATTCTTGTACGTAATAGTTATTACATGGATATAGGGCAAATAAATGACGTGGTTGACGTTTATAAACAGAGACGACGCAGATTTATAACAAAGAAGTTCGACCGCAGAAGTGCAGGAAGCATCGGGCGCGGCGTTTGGTTGTGTCCAGGAGTGGTGTTGCAGACGGCAGGAAAAGAAAAAACAAATGTTTATTCGCTGCTCAACCGGCGATAAAAAAAATGTAATTTGCGAACGCTTGAATATTTTCAAGCGCAGTAAGTAGTAATAATTGGCAGTCTTACGAAATGTTTTAACATGAGTTTGCGTACAAGTCTCGTACATGAAGAATTGCAAAAATTGAGTTGTAGAAAGTCAGTGATATTTTTCTGGAAAGGAAAGCTGGTTAAACGTTTTAATGTTCATAAAGTATGTTCCCTTGCTCACTCTGTATACAATCTACGAATGTGAATTTACAGAACATGCATAGTAAACAGTAGATAATTAGGAACAGTTTACACAATTAAATCAAGACATAAAACGAAATAATTGAAGGCATTATTCATGATAAATCGAATATAAAAAATATAAGAGAGATTGAAATAGAGGTACAGATTCAACCACGATCCATAGATGGGAAAC